TCATCATCATCATCATCATCATCATCATCATCATCATCATCATCATCATCATCATCATCATTCATCTCCAGGGCCGGAGGTCCTGGCCTCTTCATCCTGCCCCTCCTGTCCTGTGTCCGGGAGTGACCGATGTTAAGAATCCACTAAGACTTGCAGGGAAAGTGGTCCCCCTTTTTAAAGGACAGTAATTTAGTGTTCATTCATCATTAGAGAGTATCCAGCGATGACATCACCTAACATCTATCAAATTGAGATGATAACGTTTTAAAGGCTTTAAAAATATATGCTGGGTGTTCCAAATGCCTCAGTGTAGTTTTAAGACTTTAGAGAGACATACATGTGTATATGTACGTGTACACATGTATGTACACGTACATATATGTACACGCATATATAGGCACACATATTTATATATGAACATATATCTTTTAATTCATTCAGAGTTAGGAAAGCCGGGCCAATTCAAGGTGATGTGATAATTTCTTAATTGGGAACTTATTTTTTTGAATTAACCTTTACAGAAGGGAAGTTTAGTATTGTGTTGCTGTTACCTTGGATGCTTTGTGATTATCTTGATACTGGCTGCTGTGTTAAAAGGAAAACCCTTCTGTTTACAATAAAACTTTGTCTATTTATGGGCCCTAATGTTTATTTTTAAAAAGGGGGGGAGTAAGATGGGGAGGGAAAGATGGAAAAACTCAGGGTTGTTATGAGAAGGTAAGTCTCTTCTATGGCAAAATTAAAATAATTTATGGAATCATAGATTTAGAGCTAGAAGGGTCTTTGGAGATCATCTAGTCCCACAGTTTTATGTTACAAAATCAAGGAAACCCAGAGAATGGAAGTTATTTGCCAAGGGTCACATAGGTATTTCACTCTCACGTTCTGTAACTTCCAAAGGCAATACTATTTCCACTACATTAATTTTCAGCCTTAAAGTCTTCCCCCTACCCCAAAACCAACACACTGTGGTAAGGATTGTCTCATTTGTATGTGGCCATGAAGAACTTGGTTGATATGAATTCTAAATAATTTCTGAGTACCTGAGAGTTTTGTGAGTTATCATTGTCCTTTTTTGTGCACGTAAAAAGGGTGATCTTGTCATATGACTATACAATTTTATTTGGCATTTCATAGCCCTTTTACAATAAAATTGAAATTCTCTCAGACATCTTGAAGAAGGTAAGTGATATGTGGACAAAAGGGAAAATTTAGTTATTGTTCTTTTAATTAAAACAGGGAAGGGGTAATTTTGCTAATATTTTCACAATTAGGGAAAATTATTTTCATTCTTTACCCTTTGCTAGGCACCACAGACCTTGGAATCCAAGATTTGTTGGGGTCACCAGAGTAAAGGAGGAGGTTAGGATGCTTCTCTCTAGCCTGGTATTTAATTTTAGCTTGCTTTAGAGTGGGTTTAGAAAAAGTAGGGGTCGCTTTTTGGATAAAGGGCAAATACAGGTATAAGAAACTTTAGGCATAATGAAGTTTCAGAGAAATGAAAGTCAATGAGTTTTGTTTATTATTTTTATTGTGCTTATCACGTGTAGTTTGAGAGATTTGTGATCCTAAAGTGGGAGTAGGAAATAGTGGAATTGTTAATTTTGAAATACAGGTGAGTCTTTCTAGTTTATATGTAAACAACATCCCCAAGACATGAGGATGAAACCTTAAATTGTGTGAAGTGAATCTACCAATTGCATTTAGGGCCTTTACTGATATGGTAAATGGTGCTTGTGTCCAGTAGGCCTAAATGTTGTCAACTTTTTTTGTGTCTACAAATTCGAGTAGAGGGAGGAGAATTTGCTATTTTCTCTTCAGAATTTAAAGAGACTCAATGAGAGGAAATGATTGTGAGTAAGGAGATGAACTAATCTTTTCACGCTATTTAGAATTCCACTGGGATGGCACAACTTCTCTCTTGAAGCACTTATTGCTTTATATTTAAATATTGCTGGCCATCTTCTGGTCTGACTCTTACTTAGATTTCAGGACCATTTTGGTAATCTTGTCTGGATTCCACAGAAACTTGATGACTAGGAGCATTATTTTTACTTAAAATAATCTTTGGGAAAGATCATGTCTTGATAAGAATAGCTGTGAACTACTTGGCTATCTTATCAATTTGAAATGTTCCCTTTCTTAGTGTTGACAATTTGCTGTGAATGACAGAGTTGCTGATTTCTGGCTCATCTTTGAGATATATAGATGTTGTCTGGAAGTGACCTAGACCTGGTCTTTCAAGTTTGGAGAAAATCAGGACCTATATAGTATGGGGGAAATGGCTATTATTTCTTGCAATATTGAATGTATCTTTGTGAATGTGTAGGTAGTTTGCCAAAATTATTTTCATTATACATACACATGCCAAATACGAGACATTACACATTTCTGTGAAAGCTCCTCAGAATGAAGTAAGGGTCGATGTTGTGTAATTCTGTACCAGGATTTATCTTCCTGCTATCAGGGTAGCTACACTAGTAATAAAATGTAATTTTTTTTTTATCCACATACCTCTTTACCCTGCCATAAGCAGGCAAGTTTTATGTTTTCCAAGAACTTCACTACCATCTCATAGAATCTTTAGTTTCCATAAGCTCAACTCAGGTGATACCTTCTATAGGAAATCTTTTCTGATTTCTCCAAGTGTTAGTGCCTGCTCGTCAAATGGTTGTGGAATTTTATTAAATTGAAGAGGTGAATGAAACAAATAGGTAATCACTTTCTCTTTGAGTTTCCTGATCAATACTTAATAGACTTGGTTAGTAATCTTTTGAAAAAGTGTCAATTAAAACAAAGTGCCCAAGTTCTGTTCCTATGATTAAGCCTTCTTGCTGTATGTGCTGTATGTCTGTTTTTTTTAAAATTAGTATATCATGCCATTACAGCTTTTGTTAATTCAGTTATGCTCAAATAACCTTTTTGAGGATACAGAGATTAAGAATTTTATTGGGTTTTTTTAAAATTAGGTAATAGGGGAATTACTAGTGAAGTAGCAAGCAAACATTTTGTTTGAGGAAATGGAACTGGATTGACTTTTAGATTTCAAACTATCATGGAGCTTCTTTGATGTTAAATACTAAAAGTGTTGTGGGGGGGCGGATATAACTTTAGATTCTTTAGGTAGTATTGAGGCTTTTCATTAGTAGGTGGAATATTGCATGTAAGTTAAAAATGTTAAAGTTAGTTTTCATATTGCAAGTAAAGCATTTCAAGTCTTTTTATGCTTTTGCTTTTGATTGGAGAAAAATTGAGAAACTCTAACTTGCTTTCTTTTTTTAAGATAATTTTAAAAGGATGCTCTTAATGTATTGTTATGTACAAAAAAAATTGAATTATTTCAGGCTCTTAAATCTTCACCATCAAGAAAAGTGCTCTATGTAGGGGTGGGGAACCTGCATCCTTGAGGCAACATGTGGCCTGGATTTGTTCTGTGAAGTGTGGATTCAGTCAAAGGGCCATATGGCCTCAAGGCCACAGGGTCCCCACCCCTAAATAGAGATATCAAACGTTTGGTGTCCTACTTGAAGAACAATTTTTAGAAGTCTCAAAAATGAATAGTTCAGAAGGAAAGTACATTTCATAGTACACAGAAAAATAGCAGCTTATTTAAAATGACAACTGGTATGGCAAATAGCAATAGCATCTTCCAGTCTTTTGGTTTTTATTTTAAAAGGTAGGAATTCCATTGTATTTCATTTAAATAAATCATAGGACAATTTTTCTTTTATATTTTCATTCTGGAAGGAATTTGAGATCAACAGGAGGCTAAAAACTATGGGATTAGAGGAATGTTTGGAGAGAGAGGGAGAAGGGTGTCAGATTGGCCAGAGTTCTGTTACTTTTGGCATACCTCAATGAGTCAATGAAATGGTAGCTGAGTTGAGCACGCTAATGTTGATTTAAACTGCTTGCAGCTGCTTTCAATTATCATTTCCTTGGGACTGGTGCCCCCTCCTGGAGTGAGGTAGTAAGGAGACCCCCTGTGTTGTGCCCGCTCTAGAGAAGGTTTGAAAGTGGTGATAAAACCAGGTCTCTTGGTTAAGTTCTATTTTTCACTTTTGTGCTGTTCATAGTTGTAGCTTGGATTGGGTGTTCCCTGTTCCTGAAATAACTTTACGCTATTTCTTCACCTGTTGAATTACTTTTCGTCTTTCAAATTAAAAAAAATTATTGATATTTTGGTTTTTACATTGAATGCATTTCCCAGTGTTTCCCTTCCTCTTCCTTTTCTTCCTTCTAGAGAGCTATACCTTATAATAAAAAATAAAAAGTTGAAAATATTAAAGTAAGCCAACATATTGAAATTATTTGACACCATAGACTTTGTTTCAGATCCATAGGCCCCCACATTTGCAATGAAGCAAGGGAAAATGCTTTCACATATCTTTTCTTTGGGACCAAGTTTGATCATAATTTTGCAGGGTTTGTTTTGTTTTGTTTTGTTCTTTTCACTTAACATTATTGTAGTCATTGTGAATATTGTTTTCCTGGCATTTTGTTTGCTTCACTTTGGATCAGTTCATGCAAGTCTTCCTGTGCTTATCTGTAGTTATCATATCCATTAATTCTTATAGCACATTAATGTTTCATTAAATTCATATACCATAATTTTTTTAGCCATTTCCCCCATTGATGGGTGTCTACTTTGTTTCAAATTCTTTGCTGCTATGAAAAGTGCTACTATAAATATTTTGGTGTATATGCAATCTTTATTATTGACCTCTTTAAGTTGTGTACTTAGTAGTGAAATCTCTAGATCAAAGGTTATGGACATTTTCTTCAAATAATTCCAGATTACTTTCTAAAATGACTGGACCAATTCACATCTCCTTTTGCCAGTTTGCTGCTTACCTAATCTTTTTAGAGCCCAACTCAGATGTCACATTCGTGAAACCTCCCCTAACTTCCTTGTTCCTTCCTTCTCAATACACCCAGCCTTTTCTTCAGACCTCGCATAACATTTTTTTAATGCCCTTATCTTATAATTGTATAGATTAGTGGTATCTCTGTTGGTATCTTTTCTTTTCCCCTCCCCTCCATTAGATTGCAAAGTTTGAGAACAGCCATCTTGTTATACACAAACTATTTCTTTCATGGAGCCTCTCTGAACAGAGTAGGTATTTAATTTTTCTGGTTGTTACTGACCTGGGAATCAGTTTACTCAGTGCTCAGGTCGTAATGGTCTGTTAAATCCAATTTACTTTAACCTGACTGTTTGTGAATTGGGGGAACATAGTATAATGGAAAGAGTACTGGATTTAAATCCTGCCTCTGATGCATACTACTTGTGTGTGATTTGGGGCAAGTTGTTTAATCTTTCTTGATCTCAGTTTCTTCATCTTCAAAGTGTGGGAAGGGGTTGAACTAGATGACTTCTGAGGTTCCTTTTAGCCCTAGAACTACGATCTTATGATAATAATGGTACATAATTACTATTAACTTATAAAAATTTCAAAAGGCTTAAAATAGAATTTGATATCATTTGCCTAGCTCCTTTTCTAATACAGATATGCTTTAATTCCTCATGATTTTATGTATTTTCCTAAAGGCTAAAATTATTACTAAAAAGCTGTCAGTAAATTGAATTTTTATCAAATAAATTGAATGTTCTAGGAAGTCTTGCTATTTTCTTTTTCTTTTTTTAAATAATATTTTATTTCCTCCCCAATTACATATAAAAGCTATTTTTAACATTTGTTATTGGGTTTTTTTTAAGTTTTGAGTTCCAAATTCTATCTCTATCTCCCTGCCCTTACCCCTCCCTGAGATGGTAAGTGATCTGATATAGGTTATACATGTACAGTCATGTAAAACATTTCCATATTAGCCATTTTGTGCAGGAAGACAAGAAAAAAAGAAAGAGAGAGAGAGAGAGAAAGGAAAGGACAGAAAGTGAAAAATTGCATGCGTTAGTCTGTATTCAGACAACGTCCAGTCTTTCTCTGGAGGCAGATAGTGTTTTTCATCATGAGTCCTTTGGGATTGTATTGCTGAGAATAGCCAAGTTCACAGATCTTCATAGTACAGTATTGCTGTTACTATATACAATGTTCTCCTGGTTCTTCTCCTTTCACTTTGTATTAGTTCATGTACATCTTTCTAGGTTTTTTCTGAAATCATCCTGCTTGTCATTTCTTATAGCGCAATAATATTCCATTCCAATCATGCACCACAACTTGTTCAGCCATTCCCCAGTTGATACGCACCCCTCAATTTCTAATTCTTAGCTACCACAAAAAAGCTGCCATAAATATTTTTATACAGCTAGGTCCTTTTACCTTTTTTTTTTTCAAAGTATTTCTTTGGGATACATACCTAACAATCGTATTCCTGGATCAAAAGGTTTTTGCACAGTTTTATAACCCTTTGGGAATAGTTCCAAATTGTTCTCCAAAATGGTTGGATCAGTTCACAACACCAACAGTGCATTCATGTCCCAGTTTTCCCACATCCCCTCTAACATTTATCATTTTCCTTTTTTGGTCATTTTAGCTAATCTGATAGGTGTCAGGTGGTATCTCAGAATTGTTTTAATTTGCATTTGTCTAATCAATAGTGATTTAGAGCAGGGCTTCTTAAACTTTTTCCACCGTGACCCCTTTTCATGTTTTGGCAGCTTTTGTTGGCTACGTAGCCTGAAGCATGCATGATGCAAAAAGTTCAGGTGCTTTGTGTTCAGAACCAAGGCTGCAGTGAAGTTGCATGATGCAACATGGGCAAGCACTGCCAGAAACACCTCAGATTCATTTGATTTTTAATTAATTTTTGGTCGTTGCATGTTCAGAAACCTTTTAATGTTGCCAAATTTTTTGTGACCCTATATGGTCTTATGATGCAGTTTTAAGAAGCCTGATTTAGAGCATTTTTTTCATATGACTATAGATAGCTTTGATTTCTTTGAAAACTGCCTGTTCAAATCCTTTGACCATTTATCAGTTGGGCAATGACTTGTATTCTTACAAATTTGATTCAATTTTTTATATATTTGAGAAATGAAACCTTCATCAGATATACTTGTAAAATTTTTCCCCAGTTTTCTGCTTTCCTTCTAATCTTGGTTGCATTGTTTTTGTTTGTGTAAAACTTTAATTTCATATAATTAGAATGATCCTTTTTGTATTTTATAACACTCTCTATATCTTGTTTGGTCCTAAATTCTTCTCTTATCCATAGATCAGACAGGTAAACTCTTCCATGCTCTTCTAATTTGCTTGTGGTATCACCCTTTATGTGTAAATCATGTGCCCATTTTGACCTTATCTTGGTATATGATGTGAAATGTTGATATCACTATACCTAGTTTATGCCATGCTGGTTTCCAGTTTCCCTAGCAGGTTTTGTCAGAAAATAAGTTTTTGTCCCCAAAATTTGTATCTTTGGGTTTATCAAACTTTAGATTATTATGGTCATTTACTACTGTGTTTTGTGTGCTTAATCTAGTACACTGATCACCCCTCTTTTTCTTAGCAAGTACCAGATTGTTTTGATAATTACCAAGTCTTGTTATTTTCTAAAGCAAAAAATACTTCTGTAAGAGAAAGTCCATGTCTTCTTGTATTGGGTTTGCTTAAAGTAGGGGAGTACATGGCTTACTACAGTAGTCTTAGATTAAAATTTATTAGTTTATAGAATCATACTTTTTCACTTAAGTACTTTTTAACAGCTATGTTGTGGTAATAAAAAATAACATAACAGTATTGCATCATGGTTTACAGTTAAAAGCTTGAGACACAAGAAGGTTAAAATATGTTTTAAGAGCACCAGTCAATAAAAATTGAGAACAAGTTAGCCTAAAAGAGTTTTTTCTTTTTTCTTTTTTTTTTTTTTTAAAGAAGTGGTATGTGTGAGGAGAGTTCCTATGATACAGATTATTTCCTGGGAATGGAATAAACTGTACAAAGATGAGAATGCTATTTTTCATTTAATTAATAAATTTCATTTTGGAGAGCACTAATATTAGTCCTGATGTCCTGAAAGATAATTTTCCAAAGGAGAGAGTTTTACTTACTGTCATAAATGCTTACTAGTAGAATAACCTCTCTCCTCTGTTTCTGTCCTTTGCCCCTTCGGTCTTATAAAAGGAGTGTTGGGATTTATTAGGTACTAGGTGAAGCAAAGAGAATTTACTTGGGAATTGGGAAACTCATATTTAAGTTGCACCATGGTGGCATATTGGCTATGTGGTCCTGGGCACTTAACTTTTAAAGTCCCAGGCAACTCTCCAAGATTCTAAGTTGAAGAGTAGTTCTGGTTCTGAATTGTGTTGGTAAAAGGATTTTCCTTATTGAGAGCTCTGTACGCTGATGAAATCACAAAGGAAAAATGGTGTGCAGAACTTGATGATAGTTTAAATGTTTGCAGCCTGTTGGTGTCCAGCTCCTGAGTGAGAATTTGGGCACCATATTTTGAAATGGAGTTAGGTTAATTACTGGTGCTTTGGGCAACATGAGCTAGGAGTCTGAATCCTCAGCTTCCTCTGTAGAGTCTATGCCAGGGAAGTGTTTTTTGAACTGTCAGATATGAAATGTTTACTTGATGTAGATTGTCGCTTTCAAAGTCCAGCTAAATTTTCCTCTTCCTTTTTTTTTAATTTAGGGAGAATGATGACTCTGTAAAAGAAGAGAGATCTGACTTAAAAGAAAAATCTACAGGAAGTAAGAAGGCAAATAGATTCCATCCTTATTCAAAAGACAAGAATTCGGGCACTGGGGAAAAGAAGGGTCCTAACCGTAACAGAGTTTTTATTAGCAACATCCCATATGACATGAAATGGCAAGCTATAAAAGATCTTATGAGAGAAAAAGGTAACTATTTCTGAAATAACCCATTCTTGATAATCCATTCCATGTAGGAAAGGGAGAGAGGGGGGAAATAAGTAATATAAATTTTTTATTCCCTGGAGCCTCAGACTCATTTTTGAAATTTTTTTGTTTGATTTCTTGAGACCTGAATTATCTTCCCTTCCATTTTCACTTGAGGCATCTGAATTCCAAGGTAGTATATGTAAATTAAATATCTATATTTTGCAATATTAGTGTTATACTAGAGAGGCAGTATATGTATGTGTATGTAAATTATGTACATGTGTGTATTATATATGTGTACATCTGCATACATATGCCACCGTGAATTTTGTCAATCAAGGTTTTGTCTATAGTTGATGGTTTTTTCCTAGATAAAAAAAAAACAAAAACAATATGGGGGTATTATATTTGTTAAGCAATACACTTAGTGAGCTAAAGTATGAATAAGGCCTGACTTTTTTTTTTTTTTTCAAAAGCTGTTCTGTATTTCCTTGGAGGAGTCTGGAATCTGGCTGTGGAATTAATTTCGTTTGCATTGTCATGACTGCCATGATGCTGTCTCTTCTGTTCTTTATAAAAATTGCGTTACTGCTGTTGCAGTTTTGATATCAGAATAACCTAAAAACCCTAAACTTACTGTATTTGGATGGTTTGGGGGGGGAATCATGCTAATACTTGATCTTGCAAAAGCTAGTTTTGTTTATATTTTGATAATTTGAGTTTCAAAAAGTTCTACAAAGTATGCACTTGGCTTTGAGGCTGCTCCCCTTTAATAAATAAAAACTTTGCACTGGTGTATCTGTTGTAAGGTGACAACTATTTGACTGGTTTTTATTCATTGAACTCATTTAGAAAGTGTGTGGCTTGCTGTGAAATATGACTTGTAAATTTAGTTTACTGAAGGCAAACATGATTGAAGACATTCAGGTAGAAAGTCACCTTAAAACAGCTGTTGTGTGTAGGATGACAAAAGTTATTTGAAAAGTGCTAATGTTGATGTTTTTAATTTGATAGGTTAAGGGACTATCTGTATATCTGCATTTGTTCACCAACTATATCATGCTGGCCAAAATATGATCTGTAGTATGAATTAGGTTAAATATAGTTGTTTAGCTCTTTTAGAGAATGTGGATGCTGTATATTTCTGAAAATTAGTTAAATTTATATAGCCATTGATAGGAGGTATGTTGGTCTGGTTTTGATTGTTGGTGAATAATAGGTGCTTCTCTGTAGAGTTGTGCACAGGGGCACAGTAAAGCAAGATATTGGTGTTTAAATGCATTGTTTCTTGGTATTTTCCTTTTGTATGTCTTATGTAGTTGGTGAGGTTACATACGTGGAGCTCTTTAAGGATTCGGAAGGAAAATCAAGGGTAAGTGCTGTGGGCCATAATCTGCTAGAGGTTTAAAAGTTCCTCAGCAGTTTAATTTTTGCTTAATAATTGTACCAGTTTTTGGAAGTAAGTTTCATTTTTATTTTACTTTATTTTGAAAGATTTGAGGTTTCTATACTGGAAAGTTTGACACTGTCATGAAAATCAAACTAGCTGATGGAAGGGATGAGTGTTGTAAATGCTTACAAAAATGGTGTTTACTTTCCTAATGCTCTAAGGTAATGCTTCTTAGACAATAGATTTTAACATAGGATTTTTGTTGTGTTCTGAATGTCTTAAGGGATCTTCTTTTTATTTTTTTAAGTCACCGAATTGATAAAATTTCCTAAGTGTAAGGCCTATGGCAGGCCTGTAGCTTAAAGGTGTTAATTCAGAATGTATGTTTGAAACTCTTGAAGAGCCTAATTTAGGAGCTTGCAGGACTACTTAAGAGGCAGTACTCTGACCCATTGGTATTAATGAACTAGATTATTAAATTGAAGTGGAAGGAATTGGTTGGTAGCAGATTTTGATTGCCAGCAACAAAGAATGTAATGTAGTGAAGGATATACTGAAAAGTCCCTTTTTAAATAAATGATTATATTTAGTCATTTGTATCCCCAGCACCTACCAAAGTGTCTGGCACATAGTAGGTGCTTAATAAATGCTTGTTGATTGATTGATAGTGAGCAAAAAAATCTGTTGGGTGCATGAGAAATATAACTTAGTAACAACATTCCACTGCCAATGGATTGGTATTAATCATTTGTGTAATTATTTTAAAACTCTACAAACTATTTAACATACCTGATTTTTTCATATATTAGTTTTGGTGCAGCCTTTCATCTGTGAAAGACTTAATTTTTTTTTTTTAGATGTGAGAATAATTATATGGTTAATGTTTTGTTTTTGGTAGAATTAAAGGGTATACATTTTAAAAAATGTTTCCAATACAGGATTTGGAAATGCCTTTGACATTTTAATTATTCAAAAATAATCATATTGGGTACCTTAAATTATTCCTCTGGCTCTTCTTACTTTTATTTGCAACTTTTGTTTCACAGAAGATGTAAGACTATATTTTTACATAACAATGTTAGATGTCTATTGATACAATCTTATTTTAAGAAGAGTTTACAGAGGACTTTTTTGTGATTTGGAAATTAGAATTTATATCTGTTCAGGAGGTGGAAATGATTGAAATGATTGTCTTACAGTGACTTGAAATGTCAAAATCCATTGTTAACTTTATTGACCAAAACCTTTTTTTTCTCTTACATATGTTGACAAATCTTCATGGATATAGGGTTGTGGGTAAGGATTACTTTTAGTATCCTAAAGTACAATTTTGAACTTCTGGTTTAAAGAAATGTAGTTACTTAAATACTTTCAATTTTTTTTCCTTCCCTAAGTGTGGTTGAGTTCAAAGATGAAGAATTTGTAAAGAAAGCATTAGAAACTATGAACAAATATGATCTTAGTGGAAGACCCCTGAATATTAAAGAGGTAAGAATTTTTTTATTCTGAAAATTTAAAAATTGGAGCATTTTTATTTTTTATCTTTCATTTTTGTTATATGGGTTAGCTTCATTAGGAACATTTTCTTTAGCATAGAAGGCTGTTAAATTTTGTACTAGTGGTGGTTATGCTTATCAATTCATAAATTTTCTCTTTGTCCTTTAGTAGCTAACCCATATGTTTGTTTTACCCCATATGACCATAAGCAGAAGTTGAGAAATTTAGTAATTTAAATGAGCTAGACATTTAAAATAGCCAATTTCAAGTGCTCAATGTTGTTTATCATAGAAATTTTCCGTTGCGTTTTAGATTGTAGTTTTAATTTTGTAAATGTATATGTTCTATATTATTGGTAATATAAATTATGTACTTAATAAAGTGAATATTTTGTTGCTTACCACAAATCACTAAGAACCCAATTTTCAAACAGTGATAATGGGTTCTGCCCCATATTAAACTGCTTAATGACTTTAGGACAATTTATAAATCAATCATTTGAATTCATCATTTGAATTTGAGCCCCTCAATTAATGGACTTAAAATATAAAACATTGCAGTTTGAGGGGGAGAAGGACAAAGGAGGAAAAGTATTCAGAAGGTATGCGCGGACTCATTTTCATTGAACATTAGGTTTTCAAGATGCTGAAATGATCATGGAATGGTTAGTATGGGAAAAGCTAACTTTATGTATTTATAAATTATTATATATAAACTCTATATTCCACATCGGTAATAATTTCAGTATTTAAATTATAGACTAGTTCTGATTTTTTTTTCTCCCAGAATACTATGAGAAAAATTTTAGAGTTAGGATAGAGAAAAAAAAAACAGGTCCTGTCACCATTGGAAGTTCAGTTTGATGTGAATCATTGGTTTGATGACAAATTCTCTTTAGATTAAACTACTAGTTGTAGCCTAGTGTGAGAATACAATTGGATTGTCAGTCTGAGTACAAAGCCTTACTAACCTAAAATGAAAAGTTGTGCTGAAAAAGATATAGCCATCAAAAGTGGTCCTTACTTAATAGTTGACATCTGTATTTTTTTCCTAAATCTTTATATTTTAATTTTTACAATTCCATTTAAAAACAATTTTTAGCATTTGTTTTTAAAATTTTTGAGTTCCAAATTCTTTTCCTCCCTCTCTCCCCTCACCCTTCTTGAGAAGGCAAGCAATTTGATATAGATTATTACATATGCAGTCATGCAAAACGTATTTCCGTAGTAGCCATTTTGGGAAAGAAAACATCACCTATATTCTTCTAATCCTGATTCAGAAACCATAGTATTCTTTAGAGGAGTTTAATTATCTAAGCCTCTTCATCTTAGGGACTTCCCTCTCTTATCATAACACCATCATATCTAAACTTTGTTTCCTCTGGTACCCACCCTGGTATACAAATGCTTAATATTTGTTTGTCAAATTGAATTTTTTCCTGGAGTGGGAAAGGAAAGAGATTTGGGCCAATGTGATTCATAATTAAATGTTTTCATCACCATTTTATATGACCATTCATATTTTTTAAAGCATTTTGTAAGAGAACTGTGAGTAACTAAGATTCAAAAGTTTCCTATAGTTCCTTAAATATGTGACATTTATAATGTTTTATATATGGCAAATAAAGGCATCATGAAAGTAGACAGAATGCCAGGCTTAGAATCAGGAAGACCTTGGTTCAGATCCAGCCTCTAATAACAGCGTGTGACCCTACACAAGTTACTTAGCCACTTTAGTATCAAGTCTCAGTCAACTCTCTTGAATTTATCCTAAGTCATAACCATTGAAAGAGTTTGCTAAACTGAGAAAATCTCAGGTCTTTTATTCAATCTTCTATGAGGGATATCATGAATTTAGGGTTAAAGATTAGTTGTTCAGTGATATATTCTTTTTCTTTTCCAAATATTCATGTTGTATATTCACACTAAAATACCCTTCACTTCCTTCCCTTCTCCACTCTGCTATAAAAAATGATTGTGAGATCATACTTTGTTGTCTTTTCAGCATCTAGCACAGATACTCTGTTAATACTTCAGTAAGGAGCCCCCACACTGGAATAAAGTTTATCTGACCAGTCATATTGGTTACATGTAAAATTAGGTGTTCCAAATTAATAGCATGTTTTTACTCTCCTAACTTGTTTCTTCTTTTTTCTCTCTAATATTAGAGTTTGAAAGTCTAGTATCTAGTAAAGCTCTCTTAATTTTAATGGATCATTAATTGTCAGCATTAGTACTGACAGTCTCCAACTTCTGAACACTCACAAATGACTTCAACATGAACAGGTAGTGTAGATGGAGTTCTAGAACTCACAAGGCTAGAATTGGGAAGTCCTGCTGCTACGGTAAGGGGAAGTGTACTTTCCTAGTTTGGAGATTCAGAATGCTTCTTCCCATAGAAACAATATCATTAATTGTGGTTAGGTATTATTTAAGATTGTGCTATTAGTACTATGCCTCAGGTACAACCTGGGCTAAAAAGTTTTTGTTGTTGTTTTCAATAGGGCAACCTACAGTACCTGGTGTATTTTATTTTATTTTATTGTTTTTTGGGGTTTTTTGGTGATGCAGTTGGGGTTAAGTGACTTGCCCAGGGTCACACAGCTAGTAAGTATCAAGTGTCTGAGGTCGGATTTGAACTCAGATCCTCCTGACTCCAGGGCTGGTGCTCTATCCACTGCACCACCACCTAGCTGACATATTTTATAACATTATTTCTGTGAGGAAAATGTATAATGAGTTTGGTCAGCCAACTTAAAAAATAAACTTTTATAGCAAAATAAGTTAGAGGCAGCTTATTCAGTTGAAGTAGGACAATTGTATACTTTTTTCACTGATAACTTAATGTTTTTGTTGTTACTTTGATAGATTGATGTATGGGTTGGTACTGTTGCAATCTTATTTTCATGTAGGAAATTGATCTATATTGGTTGTTTTAGACAACAATGTAGTGACCTTGCAGCTAAAACTTTTTGTAAGTTAGCAATTTACATTTATTAAAATTCAAGGTTTATGATTTGTTAAAAAAGATAATTACAGAAGAAAAAATGTTGACAGTGAGTGCATGGTTGTGTTGTATGCTGGATTTTGTAACCCTAACCCATATCCTGAATCTGCCACTAAGTGACTTTGGACAAGTCACTTAATCTCTCTAGGCTTCAGTTTCTTTACTCATCTGTGAGATGATGCAGTTGGGACTAGACCTCTCAGATCCCTTCCACTTCCTAGGATATTAAACCATATTCCATTAATTTCATGAGTATCTTAGCATCAGCATCGTTAGCGATTTTTATCTACTAAAATCTTCTTAAATATCTTTACAAAATAAGCCATCAGTGCATCTGAAATTTATATTGCTTCATTGATTTTTGTCATGGTTAATAGAGCATAGGTCATGGTATTGATCTCACTCCAACCCCAGTTAGGTTTTTACAGAAAAAAAAACAAAACACAATTTGTTCCCATGAAATAGGCCTTCAACCCTAGTCAACTTTCCAACAAGCATGCTATTGATCACAAAAGGTATGAATGAATCCAAATGACTCTGTGCAACCATTACTATTCCTAATAAATATAAACTGCTTCTTATTCAAAACAAAACAAAACTCAAGGCATATATGATACTGGAGAAGTAGGTAATGTTTACCTTTGTATGCAAAAAACAGCCCATAGTTGTAGAGTAAATCCAATCTTAAATGAAGATTCATGGAAATTCTATACACATCTCTATTTGTAAATTTGCCCCCCAACTCATGATAGATTTTTGGCTTGGCCTCTTGAGAAAGGTACTGTTTTTATGTATTGGCTCATTTTTTATGATCATATCTGTACTAATGTTGGAGACCAAGTTTATTCTAGAGATCTAATTTTGTTTCTTCCCATTAATAGGAATTCTTGACTTCTACTTTTCCATTTTGAAATATGACAAATTAAATTTTTAGGTTTTGTGAAAATTTTCCTCATTTAACTTATAAAGCAAAAGTTGCTTGTTTTTCTACGTACTTTTCCTACCAATGTTAATTGTTCAGCAGCAATTTAATTTACCTAGCACCTTCAACTATCTAGAACAGAATGGAAAGTCGAGAATGAAACAAAAACCAAAACATATGTCACAGAGTCTGTGCATTAAAGGTAATGTGCTTTATTCACAGATAAGCCCTTCTGGCCTCTTAGATTCCCTTTACTCTTATTTTAGGCCAAGTTCTAAAGAATTTGGTTATTCTCTTTTGCCACATAAACTGGAGATTAGAAGTAGCAAATTAGAAGAGGTAGAGCACTGCTAGAAGTCAGCATAGGGATGTGAAGGAAAAAGACTAATTAATAGATGATATTTCAAGTCAAGTCAAATGGGATTTATATAGTACCAATTTCCATATCTAAAGTTCTTCATATTCATGAAATTTCAGGTCTTCTACTTTCCCATGTGCAGCCCAACAAACAAAAATAAAACAAACAACAGAACTTTAAAAAGCATGACAGTCTAGGATCATTTAGCACAGGGGCCGATAACTCTTAACATGTTCCATGCTCCATGAAGGCATCAGCTTTGGAGGCCGAACTATTATATCTGCCTTACCTCCTATGACTTTTCCTAGGCACCCCAGCAAACTCCAGTGTTCCTCTCCCTTTCTGATTAGCCTTATGCTGAGCCTAACAGCTCTTGGAATAAAATGTATTCAGTGGATGACGAAGCTTAGTCATTCAGTTTAGCACGTATATTACAAATGCTATTGTGTATTCTGTAAAGTAGGGAAGAAGTTTTTTGCATTTTGAGCTTGTTTCACTTCCGTCTTGAAATTAAAATATTTCTCAGATAATAGAAATCTTTTATTATTGACTATATGAAGACATTAATCTCTAATCCAGTTTGTAACTAAAAACTTTCTTCTCCACTTTTGGTCTCAAGATCATGATCACTTCAATAGAGTAGAAGGTTTAAGGAGTAAGTAAATATTCCCATTTAGGAGAGAAATTAAGACTTCATAGAGAAGGGGTTTTAAAAATCATTTTTCCTTCAAAGCCCTGGGTCATGTACTTCCAAGGCTTTAAAGCCTTGCATTTGCTAATCAGTCCAAATACTGTATTTCATTGGGGGCATCAATAGTGAGAATTCACTACAGCTGCATTTTGGAAAGAAAGAAGCCACAGGTAAGTAATTTTCTTCTTTTTAGAGTGTATATTTATGTATATATTTTATGGTACTCTAGTATGAGGTAAACATAAACTAATTTCAAGTTCTTTAAGTGACTTTAGTGATTGGAAAAAGGTACAAAACTGACATCCCTGGAGATTGAAATCTTTTATCTATCCACAGACTTTGTACAGGATTCCTTTCTATGTATAAGAATAATTCAGTCTCTGCCTATAAGTCCTTGACGCTTCAGCTGGGTCTGCAAGATGGTCATTAATATTGAGCCAGTTGTGTTAGTTTCTATAGAATTTCAAGTTGTTTTAAATGATTTTAGACATATTGATTCATCTAGCGGTATTTAATATTCAATATGTGTTATAGGATCCTGATGGAGAAAATGCTCGTAGGGCACTGCAACGTACAGGAGGATCATTTCCAGGAGGACATGTCTCTGATATGGGTTCGGGGTTGATGAATTTACCACCTTCCATTCTCAATAATCCAAATATTCCTCCTGAGGTTATCAGTAATTTGCAGGCTGGTAGACTGGGTTCTACAATTTTTGTTGCTAATGTAAGTTTAAGCTTTAGTCTCAATTTTTTTGTTGTTTAGATGTATAGTTCTAATTTTTCATTAGTTCATTGTCATTGACCAAATTGCTTGTGGGTTTTAAAAGAACATTTTGCTTATTTTTAATAAAAATAAGTGAAATAGTAATTATTAAAATTCTTAAATGAAAAAAACATTTGTACAAATTAGAAGTATAAATGCATTATTTTAGTTTAGGTTTTTCCCCCAGAGGAACTGTGAAATTAAACATTTGTACAGTTCTTAACGTTTATTTCTTCTGCATGTGCTTTTATTTTTATGTTGGTAAATGGGTTTCTTCCTGGTAGTTTTGCATATCTGGTCCATGGATTATATGTACTCATGAATTGTCCTGTGTTGTAGTTGGTTTGTTTGGAGAATACCTGTCCAGCTGTTCTACAATTACGAAAGTCCATTAAATTAACAACACTGTTCAATATTAATTTCTTTTAGTAGAATTAGATGTACAAGTGTCAAATGTGTAATTTGGTCAGGGCTGCGATGTTTCTCAGAGCTAATTGAGCAGGTGAGACTTTTGGGAATTAAACTTTTTTAAGGAGAAGGGGATGTGTAGGTGTGACTTATTAAGTGAGTTTAAAAAATACTTAAGGAGATTTACAGTTTATTATTTGAGAAGTATTGATATGTTGTATGATGGTAGTAAGAATTATAGTTTTTTGGTATCTGTAATTTTGGAGTTTGGAAAAGATTTTGTTGTCTATAATTGGGGAGACAGGTATATTAGTAACATAACTTTGATACAATTTTATGTTAAGCTTGACTTCAAAGTTGGTTGGAAGAAGCTAAAGGAGGTGTTCAGCATAGCTGGAACAGTAAAACGGGCAGATATTAAAGAAGACAAAGATGGCAAGAGCAGAGGAATGGGCACAGTCACTTTTGATCAAGCAATTGAAGCAGTTCAAGCAATCTGTATCCTAATTTACATTTTAGTATTATATCTAATGTGGTTGAAGGAGTCTGATACCATTTTTCCCCTTGTTTTTTATTGTTAAAGTTCAGGCCAGTTGTATTTGGTATAATTTGTTGCCTTGTGCCTTCTTTGCACTGTACTTGGCTTAGCTCTATGTTAGACTTTAGTCTCCAGTACATGCAGACCTTTATTACATCCAAGTACTAAAGTCACTCCTGAAACTTGAAATAGCATTACAGTTCTGTCCTGATAAAATATTTGGGGTTTTCTAGCCACACATGTAAAGGCAGCTATTTTATATAATCCCTTGTATACTAATAATATACATTAAAATGAAACATCTTATTTTCTTTTTTGAATGATTGGATTAAATAAGTTAAATGTGCCTTTAAAAAAATTATTTGCCAAGAGAGAAACTAAAACCTTGTATACCTAAAAGAGGCTATTAATTATGGTACTTAGTAACCTAGGAAATAATTGTTTGAAATATTTGTAATTGTTTAAGTATAAAATGAGATTTCTTTGTTTGGTTAATTTCTCAAATATTCATATGCAGTAATTTGATTTAGCTTTCCTTGACTGACTCTTCAGCTATGTTCAATGGACAGTTTTTATTTGATAGACCTATGCATGTGAAAATGGTGAGTCCTTGCCCAACCCACCAAAAATGCCTCCCTTTGCTCTTATGTATATTATAACATCTTTGTAGTTATGCTGTTTCACAGTTTAACACTATAATATATTTGTTTTCTTATTAGGATGACAAATCAGTCCCTCATGAAGACTATCGTTCACATGATAGTAAAACACCCCAATTGCCCCGTAAGTAAAGCTATACTTAAAAAATGAAATGTTTTAAGACTAAATAACTTATTTTTTGTGGACTGGGGAATAAATTCATTCTTTGTCTGTAACATGAGTTAACTACTCAAAAATGCTTATGGTTTTTAGGTCACTAATTAGTAACTTAAAATATATAGAATTCTTTGCTATGTTTAGTTAAGTGGAAGTAATATTATTTATGTGAAGTTTTCATCTACAGGTAATGGACATGGCTTTGTTGCTGTTGGTCCTTGAAATGCTTTTATAACTAGATTATTAGAAAGGCAGTTAGTAATTAATGGAATTGTGAAAACATTATCCTATTTTTACACATGCAACATACAATCTACTATTACAAATAAGTTTTAGTCATTTTCAGGTCCTGCTTTGGACAAGATAGACAAAAATTATATATAGCCATTAGGAACCAAGATATGAGAAAATAAGGAGCTTATACCAAGAAAACCTTGGTGATCAAGGAGTGAGTCCTTTAATAAAAGTGTGGTTTTTTTGTTTGTTTGTTTGTCTTTTCCAATGGTGATACACAAGAGTACTGTTTCTAAATTTCTTTGTCAGTTTTTTCTGGTCTGCAATTTTGTCAAGGCTTGGGATGTTATAAAAACTTACTTGATTTTAGGACTGGATCCTTAATACCACCAAGTTTTGTATATTGTTATCTTTGTTTTTAGGTGGTCTTGGAGGCATTGGAATGGGGCTTGGACCAGGTGGGCAGCCCATTAGTGCCAACCAGTTGAACATGGGAGGTGGAATGGGAAATATAGGACCAGGAAGTAAGTATTTTTATGTTTTTTTTTCCCCTGAAAATTGCCCTGCTTGATCAGTAACAAAGCTTATATTTCTATACTTTTCTGTAGGGTATTAAGAGCCTCCTTTAGAGCTTTGTGGATATGGTGGCATCATTTGAATTGAAAGTGAAGCTAAAGCATGAGAACAGCAAAGGGAAATGAGAGTGGGAGAAAACAAGTTTTTTTTTTTTTACAGACAGCTATGCTGTGACTAATCTTTTAACACAACATTAGGGGAGAAAGGAATGCATAGCACATCACCTTGCACAGAGTAGGGCTAAAGGTTTGTTGGTGGAATGAAGTAGAGGTATATCACAACTTACTTATTAACAAGGTAGTATAAATTTGCATATTAGGTTAAGGGTAAATAGGGATGTGTGTCTATTCAAGTGAAACAATATAACTTAGCTGAGATGATTTTTACATTTGTTTACCTAACTATGATTTTTGTTGGCTTCTATAATTATTCCGTAGAACTTGAGGTCACTGACAATAGTAGCCTTTTTAGTCCAGGCAGAGGTATTCTCCTTAACCCCTTTGTTGTGTTCCTTTCTTAGCTTCCTTGGTTAGGACAAACCTTCCCCAGCCTACACTAGATTATACAGCTATAGGAATGGTCTAATTACCTGTACATATCCTTTAATGGCTTTATAGTGTTTGTGCTGTAAAGTAGAGGTTCTTCTGCACCTGGAGATCTGAGGTTGAAGGCTTTATTGAACAGTTCTAGCCAGCTGAAGAGAGTATACTGCTTCATAGATGCTTGATTTTCTCATACCTTCTACCTTTTCTTCTTTGAAATGTTTGTTGAATTTAAACTGAATTCTTGTACTCATTAAAAAGCATTGTGGGGTGGGAATTGGATCTGGGAGGTGGGAAAAATGGAAGCAACACTTTCCTTTCTTGTCCTCCAGTAATTTCTCAGGCCTAATCCTTGAACCTTCACAACTGGATAACTGGCATAGGGGTCAGGCAAGTGACCCCCACCCCAAATATTCCATTATCACTTAAAGCGTTTGTTTATGCTTTGTTGCATCATTTTGTGGCCATAGACATGAAACATTACATTCTTTTTCCACGATTTTCTAAAAGTAAATATTTTGTATTTCATTTGAGGTATGGGAATGGATGGTCCTGGTTTTGGAGGAATGAATAGAATGGGAGGAGGTATGTACAAGACTTTATACTTTGTGTGTATGATCATCATAATTTACTGTAAAACTGTCAGACATGAAACATAGATTCCTGCTTCCCTTAATGCTAACTTATTTCCCATGGAGCTTTTAGTAGGAATTGATTCCACACAAAGGCTTTTAGTAGAGTTAGGAAGCAGCCACATAAAGTTGGTGAAGTAGTCTGATGGGTAGGGGAAAAACCAACAGGTGGCACTTATTACTGACAAAAGTATAAGTTTAAATTATGTAATTAACAATAGTATCTTCAAATTTATCCTTATTATGTAGGAGTTGGGTTTGGTGGCATGGAAACAATGAATAGCATGGGAGGATTTGGAGGAATTAGCCGAATGGGAGGTAGGTAAATTCTTAATTTGGAGGGGGGAGGGGAATCTGGAGTGTGTTCTATGTATAGCTCTTCCCTACTATTAAATTGTTCCCTCCTTCACTTAGGAATGGGTGCTATAGATGACTTCAGAGGGAGCATGGGCAGTGGAATGAGTGGAGGGATAGGGACTGGCATGGCAGGAATGGGAACTGGTATGGGCGGCCTGGGAAGCAGCATGGGAGGTAAGTTAGGTAAATAACATTTTCATATTTACAAGTTTTATTGTCATCTTACTTTTATTTTAGGCATATTCTTAAAGAAACATTGAAATGCTTGAAAATATTTAAATTGTTCCTACTATTATTTTCACATTCTTTATAGAATTATATCGTGGTGGAATGGCTAGTAGCATGGAAAGAGACTTTGGACGTGGCGACATTGGAATGAATCGAGGCTTCGGGGATTCTTTTGGTAGAATTGGTAGGGCAATGTTGTCATGTTATACTTCTTTCTCTTTTTGTTGGTCATGTCAAAATACTTTTATTTCTTCTGTCTTAAAAATAAGGAATATTATATATGGTGTTTCATTCAGTTTTGTTTCTTAAATGAGGGAATACTTTTGATGATGAACTGGCAAGACTAAGATGCTACATTGTAGTTTACTCTAAAAACAGAATATCTGCACATAAAGCACTTGAAAGTCAACTCTTTTAGAAAGTCCTCAATGAACTCAGTTATCTTACTTTAGCTTCTTATAAATGAAATATTAAAATGTTGTCAAATTAATTACTGATACTCTCTTGAAAGTAACTGCAGTTAATTAGCATATTATCTGTCTTTGTTAAGGTGGTGCAATGATTGGAGGTTTTGCAGGAGGAATGGGAGCTTCTAACATGGGTCCAGTAGGATCTGGCATGAGTAGGTTTTAAAGTTTTTCCTAAAATTAATTTTAAGATGTTTGCTATATGCAAAAACTGCTAGTAATTTATAATGACAGTGTAAAAATCTCATATTATGCTTATTGTAGATTTACACTTTTGTCTGGTGAGAGAAGGTTATGTAGGAAAGCTGTGATAGTTTGATTGAAGGCTCTTATTCTTGAGTATTGATTTTTACTTCTTTATTATTCCTGTGCGGAAATCTAAACATGTTTGAACTAAAGCCCCATCCTAGGTTTCTCTGCTCCAGCAAGACTTTCCTGAACATATGTGACCATGTGTCACAGAATTACATTTGCCCTAGCACCAGTTTTATCTCCCTTGCTAAGCTTTGCAGCTGCCACTGTTTTTTAATTTGTTTGAGAGGTAGGAAAGTTATCCAATGGATTGCTTTACATTTTTCATTTGAGGAATTCCTAAGGTTGTATAGGCCAAGATTAGGAGGTAGGTTCCTTTCATATCTTCTAAAGTTTGTCAAAGAGTAGCTTTATAACCTTACTAAGAAACAGATGTTGAGTTTCTTTCACTTTAGTCCTCTTATTTGTTGCCCTATTTTACCCTTGACCTTACTCACTATTTATACCCAGTTTATTGACCGCACTTTCTTACTAAACCATTATTTTCCCTTTGAGCTTTTCTTGCCATACTGGCTTTTCGTTGGTAGACCTAAAACACTCCCTACATTCCCAGCTTTAACATCTAAACTCCAACTCTTGAAAACTTATTAACAATTCTTCCACTAAACCATTCTCTTCTCTGGCTTCAGTTTTGTCATAAACTAATCAGTACATTATTTCTGTCAGGTCTTCTCATCCTAACATAGAATCATAGAATTATAAAAGTTGGGATCAACCTTTTAGTAATCCCTTGACTTGGTGCATTTTCAGTGACTGTTCCCTACGCCTGGAATGCTTTCCCTCCTCAGCTCTGTCACATGGCTTCCCTGGCTTCCTTTAACTCCTAGCTAAAATCCTACTTTCTACATGAATTCTTTCTTTCTGTCCCTTTCCTCTGTTAATTATTTCCTATTTCTGTATATAGCTTGTTTGTACATGTTTGTTTGCGTGTAGTCTCTCTCATTAGATGGTGAGCTCCTTGAGGACATAGATTATCTTCTACCTTTCTTTGTATCTTCAGCTTTTAGGACAGTGCCTGGCGTATAGAACATGCTTAAATACTTATTGACTGATTGAATAGTCATTTAATTCAACTAATACCTAAGTAGGAATACCTGGAAAGTGGCCATTCAGCTTCTACTTGAAGACCTTCAGTGAAAGGAAACACACTAGCTCCTCAGACAACCTATTCCTTTTTGAAAGCTCTGATTAATAGCTTTTCATTAGATCCAATCTAGATCTGCCTCTTTCTACCCAGTGCTTCTACTTATGTCATTTGCGGCTAAGCAAAAGGAATATAAGCCACCTTCAGCAGAATAAATCTTAAAGATAGCTGTCCAATCCAGCTTCTTCTCTTCAGACTGGACATGCTCAATTCCTTCTGCTGGTTGTTATATGGCATCATTTTGAGTTCCTTACAAGATCCTGGTTGTTCTCCTTGGAACGCACTGCAGACTGTCAATCTCTTTCCTAAAATTATATGCCCAGAAATGAGCATATATTTTACTGCAGATGTAGTCTAAATAGGGCTTATTAAAGCAGGACTATAACCTATTTTGTTCCAATCACAACTTAGAGAATAATAACATCAAGCATTTGTATAATGCTTTTGTTATTGTTGTTTAGTCATTTTTCAGTCCTGTCCAACTCTTTGTGACCTCTTTTGGGGTTTTCTTGGCAAAGATACTTTAGTGGCTTGCCATTTCCTTCTCCAGCTCATTTTACAGGTGAGGTATCTGAGGCAAACAGGGTTATGTGAGTTGCCCAGGATCACACAGCTTGTAAGTATCTGAGGCTGAATTTGTACTCAGGTCTTTCTGACTTCAGACACAGTGCTCTGTCTACTGGAAGGGATTTCAAAGGCCATCAAGTCCAACCATTTCATTTTATCTTTGAGGCAACAGAGGCCCAAAGATATTAAGCTACTTGCCCAAGGTCATATATGTAGTAAATAGCAGAAACCATATTTGAACCCAGGTTCTCTGACTTCAGAACTAGTACCTTTTCTACTGTACTACCATTATATAGCCTAAGATCACATTAACTTTTTTGGTGGTTGTATTACATTGCTGACCCATAGTAAACTCATTCTTCATTAATATCCCTAGGTCGTTTTTTATATGCGTTGTTGTTTAGTTATATTATCCCCATCCCGTAATGGTAAAGTAGATTTAAAAAAAATCTAAGTATAGGACTTCATTAGATTCTACCTTATTATATTTAGCTGATTATCCTCCAGGGGTGGGGAACCTGCATTTGCCAAACTTCACAGAACAAAATCCCTTAATAAAAGGATTTCTTTCAGTAAAACTTGAACTCAGTCAAAAGGCTTCACCCAAGGCCCTAGAAGGCCACATGTAGCCTTTAGGCCACAGGTTCCCCACACCTGTAAGCCTGTCAAGATCTTTGGAAGTCCCGTTTAACTAGCCATTGTGTAAGCCAAACCTTATAGCTTCCTTCATCTGCCAGTTTGATAAATATTTTAATTATATCATCATCTAGGTCATCTCATTTTTTCATTCACTTACTTTGGGTTTCAATTCCCTGTTATTTGTCCCAGTCAAAAGATCCTTCTTCTTACTGGAAAAAACAAGCAAAAAAGGAGGTAAAATAGTGCCATCCTTAACCTGATTTCCATTATCATTATTCTGTTTACTCCTAGCAATGGTCCTATCCTTTTTAAATTCCTTTATGTCCCCAAACAAAGCATTTTAAAAAGATTTTTATTGTTCTTCAACATTAATTGTACACTTTGATTCATTTTAGACTTTTTAGCATTCCTAACATCCATCTTAGGATTCACCCTTGCTTCCATCTTCTGTACATGTCTTTTAATATAAATTGATCTAGTTCCCTTGTGTATCTCTTTAGATAACTTTTGTTCTTTCTCATAGGAATTATTTGTGTCTATTATAAGGACTTAATTCCTCTTGAGATAATTTCCCCTTAGGCCATGAGTTCCTGCCTGATCTCTTTCTGATGTCTTCAACATCCTACATTTTAGGATATTCATTAGATTATGCCTGGCATTTTTTCCCTTATCCTACCCCTTTCCTTTTTTTCAGTTACAAACTACTAGTAGTCAGTATATCCCCAAAGGCTTGTTATTTCTTGTTTGACAACCAGTCTGATCTTTTTCATAACCAGATCTTTCAAAAAAAGTAGGTTGGAATGTCTCGGCTGCTCTGATTTTAGTACAGAGAGCAGTCACCAGCAGACTTCCAGAGGGCTGAAATGACCCATCGCTACTCTTTATCCTTCCACTATGCTATTTTTTTTCCTGCTTCAGGAACCCATCATCCAGTCTTGTTTTGGGATGGTCTAGAGTATACTACCACCATAGTAGTGCTGCTGTTTCTCTCTTTATGATTGTAATCTAAATCTTCACCATGCTTTTCTCCTACAGTTGGTAGACTTTATACCCTAGGATATATCTTCTTGATATGCAGTGCTACTCTATTACCCCTTTTATCTAATCTTTTCTCTTTAAATAAGATATACTTTTCCATTACTGTAGTTTGGTCACAGTTTTTATCCCACAAAGTTTTACCAATTTTTTGCCTTCCTATTTTTGTTTCTGCCATTCTTTCCCCCTTTGTTGCCCATTTTTGAATGCCTAGTCATTTTGGAATGCTTTTAAAATCATGAGATCCTAGCATTTTAGTGTGGTCATTTGGTGTAAGTAGAAATCAAGGAGTAAGTAAGAAATCAAGTTATAGGGCCAATGGATAAATTGAGGGAATTGTTGAGACTAGAGGAACAGAATAAAATAAGTAGGTAGGCAAGGATATCAGAGTACCAGGAGTAAGATTAAGGGGAAAACATGAACCCATTGCTTGAGTTCCCAAGCCTCATAGCATTTTCTCTTTATCTCACCATGTCTCCTGATTAATATTAAACTTAATGATCTTGTTGTTGGAAGATGGTATCTATCTTATATAATACCTATTGACTCTTGCCAGCTGAAGAAAACTGGGAATAATTTTAGCAAACAAGTGGAGATGTGTAAGGAAAATTGGGAAAGTGATGTAATAATGGAGAAATTGTTTAGAGTGGCACATTAAGAGTTTGTAGGAGTTGATATCTATGAATTTACTTACCATAATTCTGTGTTTAGGAATGATCAAGTAAAATAAGGAATGAAAATAAAAGGCAAAAAAAAACCATGAAAAACCCAAACTATGTAATTTTGTGTGCAGGTTTTGTGTAAGTTGGATATGTTTGATTCTGATAGAAGCACATAGGTGTATATATGTAATATGCTACATGCATGTATATTAGATAGTATATTATAGGTATTCAGTTAACCAACAGTAATCTAGATTAGATTTTGTAACAATTTCTGGGAAAATACTTGTATTTTTAATGTTAAAAGACTTTATCTTTTTACTAATGTGATTATATTGAAAAAAGTAATTTTTTTCCTTTCCCTTTTCCCCAACAATGACTTACTCCCCCACCTTTTTGTTTATCTAAAGAACAAATCACCCAACTACAAACTCCCATATCTTCTTCTCCCTCCCTAAAAACCCCAGGTGGTGGAATGGGTGGTATGAACAGCATGACTGGAGGAGTAGGGATGGGGCTTGACCGAATGAGCTCCAGCTTTGATAGAATGGGACCTAGTATGGGAGCTGCACTGGAAAGAAGCATCGACGTGGATCGAGGATTTGTGTCCGGCCCAATGGGAAGTGGAATGAGAGACAGAATAGGCTCCAAAGGAAGCCAGATATTTGTCAGAAATGTAAGCAAATAAATGTAAAAGAAACTTTTTTTCTTTAATTTTCTTTGCGTATCTGTTACTAATACCTGTTTTCATTCTAGCTGCCTTTTGACTTGACTTGGCAGAAACTAAAAGAGAAATTCAGTCAGTGTGGTAAGTATACACATGATTGTAGATACATTCATATTGATTGTGGAGGAGGAGTTGGTTCTTAAATTCTAAAGACTGACAAAGGTACTTATTCATACCTATTGAAATTACTAATTCCTGGGTTGATTTCCAGGTACAATTATATTTCAGGCTTAAATGGAAAGGTAAATGTATTTTGAAATATTTTCTTGGAACAATACAGGTCTGTGAGGTAAAAGGACAGGGATCCTAGGGAAGTCTGAAGGTACTTCTTGTGCAGAGCCTTTGACTTGAAGTATATGATTTTATTATTTGATTTTATTATATTCCATTATTGTAGCCCACATTGTTGCATAATTTATTGCCAGTACTAGTCAAGTGACTTCGTTTCATTTATTAATTCCTTGTTGTCTATCTAGATCAGTAGTGTCAAACTCAAATAGAAATGGGTGGTACTAATCCATACATAAGGATCCCTACAAGATGCATATAGACTTAGTTTTAAAATGTAATGTTACCTATGTTCTATTTTATTTTTATTTTGTCAAATATTTCCTACATTTTTATTTGGTTTGGGCCAAGTCACTTCTGATCTAGGTCATGACAGGTTTGGACAAATAGTGTAGAGGTAGTAAAGTAGGAAAAAAATTACCCTTAGATTCAGATTTTCATGACATTTCTGTCTCATGCTTTTCCTTCTCTGGCCATTACTTTTCAGTCTTCTTTGTTAGATCATCATACATATTCTCTTCCATCTTTCCCAATACCCCTTCCCACCACATTTAGGTATACTCTAGCTGTTCTGTTCTCTCTTCTGTGAGCTCATCAAATCCATAGGCACAACTATCATCTATGTGCAGATTCAATTCTGTTCTTTCTCCTTCCATATTCATCTTCCATCCCTTCAAGCTATTTAATATTTCTCTTCTCTTTTACAGACATATTCCTTGAAAAAAGTCTTCTACACTTGGTGCATGTTGGACATTTCCAACTGGATATCCCATAAGCATCTCAAATTTAGCATGTTCATAGTAGAACTCATTGTCTTTCTCCCCAAAGCCTTACTCTTCCTCACTTTTCTATTTCTTTCGAAGTCACCATCATCTTCTTCAAGTCACCCACATTTGCAGCCTTGAAGAATCCTTGATTATTCTCTCCCTTAACCCTCAAATTCAGTTACTTGCCAAGATTTGTTGATCTCTCCACTCAGTGGCTACCACCCCAGTTCAAGCCCTCATCATCTCTCACTTGGCCTATTATAGTAGCCTCCTGATTGTTCTTATTGTACCCAGTCTCTTTCTTTTCCAGCTCAACTTCCACACAGCTGCCAGTGATATTCCTAAAGCACTTATGCTCAAGAAACTTTTGTGGTTCCTTCTTGCATCCGAGATAAAATACATACTCTTAAGTTTAGCATTTAAAGCCCTTCAGGCTGGCTTCAGTGTATATGTCTGGGCTTCTTGCACATTATATTCCTTCAGGTAGCCTGTGATTTGGTCAAACTGACCTATTTCCTGTTTCCTTTACAAGGCGTTTCATCTCCTCTTCTGTGCATTTGCATAGGCTGCTCTCTATGCCCAGAGCATTCTCCCTTCTTACCTTTGCCTCTTAAAATACTTAACCTTCTTCAACTTAGCTCGAGTGTACTTAAATACATGCCAGCCACTGTATTTAGTGCTGGGGATATGAAGAAAGGAAGAAAAAAAATTGCCTGTACCCTCAAGGACCTCACATTATAATAGAGGAGAAAACATAAAATTGTCATATGCATTCAAGATATAGAAAGAGTAGTTTGAAAGTAATTTCAGAGGGAAAAGACTAACAGTGGAAAGAATTGGGAAAGGCCTTCTATGGTAGGGGAGGCTTGAGCTAAGTCCTGAAGGAAGCTAAGAGGTAAAGGTGAAGAGGAAGAGCATTTCAGGCATGGGGACACCTAGTGCAAACACATGGCATCAGGAGATGGAATTTCATATGTAAGAAATAGTAAGCAGGTCAATGTAACTAAATCATAGAGTGTATAAGAGTGGTAAAGTATAAACAACTTAGAAAAGATAGTAAAAAGGGTAAAGTTGTGAAGGGCTTTAAATGCCCAAAAGAATAGGCTATATGTGATCCTGGAGGTAATAGGGAGCCACTAAAGTTCGTTGAATAGGGGTGACAGGTTCAGATCTGTGCTTTAGGAAAATCATTTTAGCAGCTCGCAGATTAGAATGGGGAAAGAGTTGAGGGAGACCAGCCAGAAAGAAAGGTATTGTAATAATCCATGTGTAAGATGATGATGGCCTGAATTAGAGTGGTGGCTATGTTGAGTGGAGAGAAGGGGACATATACAAGGCCCTATTGTGAAGGTAAAAATGACAATTTTAAAGTAAATTGGATATGTGGAGTGAATGCCAGTGAAGAGTTGAGAATGACATTGAAGTTGCAGGCTTAGGTGACCAGGAAGCTAGTGGTGCCTTCAACAGGAAGCCTCTTGTTGATGCAGGAAGTCACATGATCTTCAGAATGGAAAATTAGCAGCCATGTGAAGAATGGATTGAAGGAATGAGAGAATTAAAGTAGCAAGACCAGTTGGGAGGCTGTTACAGTAATCTAGATAAGCTGATAAGAATTTGAACTAAAATGGTAGCTATATGGATAGAAGGAATTGGATACAAGAAATGTTACAAAAGTAGGGAACAGCACGATTTGGAATATATTTGGGTATATGGCATAAGAGAGAATGAAGAGTTGAGGAAAATGCTGAGGTTATAAACCTGAGACATTGGAAGGATAGTGGTGCCTTCAACAGACCAGGGAAGTTGAAAGGAGTGTGTTTGGAGGGGAAGATAATGAGATCATTTTTGGACATTTTAAGTTTACATCCGTTTTGAAATGCCCAATAAACAGTTGGTGACACTGGACTTAAACTTGAGGAAAATATTGGGACATATGTACATCTGGCAGTCATCTGCATAGATATTATATTTAAGCTCATGGAAGCTTATAACTTATCAAAAAAGAGACTGTAGAAGAAGAAGAGAAAAAGGCCCAGGACAGAACCTTAGGGAACACCCACAGTTAGAGATTTTGATATGTGAATAAGTAAACAAAGGAGACAAAGAATGGACAGGTAGGAGGTGAACTGGGAGAAAAAAGAGTTGGAAACACCCAGAGAGGAAAGTGTATCAAGGAAAGAAAAGATGATCAATAGTGTCAAATGCAGTAGATAGGTCAAGAAGGATCAGGGTTGAGAAAAGACCATCAGATTTGATAATTAAGAGATCCTTGGCAACTTTGGAGTGAGCAGTTTCAATTGAGTGATAAGGTCAAAAGCTAGATTGCAAATAATTGAATGAGAGGAGAGGGAGTTCAGGCAGCAAATGAAGAAAGCTTTTTAAAAGTTGAAAGAGAAGAGATACAGAACAATATCTTGAGAATATGGCGGGATTTTTTTAGGATAGAGGCTTTAAAAATATTTTTTTAAGATCGGGGCAGTTGGAAATATATGAAGGCAGTAGGGAAGGAACCAGTTAATAAAGGTTGAAAGTTTGAGAGAAGGGAAAGGTAATTAAGGATGGAATCTACTGGAGAAGGTAAAAGAGGATGGGATCAATTGCACATACAGAGAGGATGGTCTTGGCAAGGAGAAGGGATGCATCTTTGTCAGAGACTGGGGGAAAGAAGCAAAAAGTGGGAGAGATAATTCAAGCAGTTTTGGGATGAAGAGAATGGGAGGAGAAGGAGCTTGTATTAAATGACCTTAATTTCTTCATTAAAATAATAAACAATGTCCTTTGCTGAGAGAGAAGGGGGGTGGGATTTGGGAATTGGGAGGGAGTTCAGGAGAAGAGAAAAGATTTGAAATAGCTTCTATAGGGAGTAATAGAATCAAAGAGAAATAAAATGTTTGAGAAATGGCATGAGATTTGGCAGTTAAGAAATCATTGATAACTTTGGAGAGTACATGCAGTCTTAGTTATATTAGAAGGTTGGAAGCTGCCAGATTATAAAGGATTTAGAAGTGAATCAGAGAAGCTGAAGCACCTAATGTAGGTTACTTTCTCTCAAGCAGTTTAGCAAAGAAGAGAAGTATTGGATGCTAGACAACAGGGATGTTAAGATCTAGTGAGAATGTTTTTAAGAATTGATTAGAGACATGGGTGTGTTTGTAGACAGGAGGGAAGGAGCCAGTAGATAGGGAGAGATTAAAGATGAGAAAGAGTGGGGTTAATGATACAGGCAATCTATTGGATAAGATGGAAGGGTGTAGGATCCAAGGGAAAAGTAGAGGTTTTGCTTTGGCAAGAGGGGCTACTTTTTTTTTTTAACAGATAGGAGTGAATAAGAAGATAGAGGGGAAGAGTGTCTGAGTGATTTGAAAAGATGAGGAGAGAAGAAGGATCTCTCAGTGAATAGCTTCAAATTTTTAGTGAACTGTGTGAATCAAGGTCAGAGGGGATAGTAGGAGATGGGTATAGTGGGAGCATTGGGGAGAAATGAAAAGGTTTGGAATAGTAACTGTGGTTGAATAGGATAGTGTCTAGATTAAGGAGGTGTAAAAAGATTGCCTTGCTGCAGAGAGGGTCTAGTTGAGATTATGTAATAATAATAATTACTATTAAATAATATATGCAATGTAACATATTATGATATAATTATAAATAATTACAGTGACCCAATGTGAGTCTTAGTCAATATGTAATTTACATTTATTCTTAGTTTTCCTTGGTGTGCTTTTGAGTCTTGCTCTCCTTAATCACCTTGAGTTTTCAAAGAATATAAAACACAAGCTTCTTTACTAGTAAAAAATAATGATAGAGGAGGTAGTAAAAAGCTGTCTTCCCTTTTTATCATTCTTATTCTCCAAGAAAGAAAGCAAATTGATAAAGAGGCTTTGGGCAGTGACTTAACCTTTGAAGGGCAGCTAGTGGGAAGTGGGAAAGAGATATTGGAGTTGGTAAATAAAGATCTGACATGGATTTCTGTATAAAAATGAATTAAGGACATTGTGAAAAATGGTAGAATGGCTTTCAGCAATTATT